CGGGAGTGAACTCGCTTGGGATGCCGAGAAATCAAAACAGTTGTTCGTTATATAGCTACAGTTTGATAAAAGAAATTAGTTTCTTCAATGATTCGAACAAACGAGATTCTATGCAAACGTACATCAGACTTCGCAATATATAATAGTTTGACAACATGGCGATAGTGACAGTAGTACCTACAAAATAATCTCTAGCAGATGCAGGGGATGAACCATAGTGAAGGCTAGCTGATCAGATCCAAACTGATCCCCTTGCCTTCTCGGCTGTTCGATATTCATTTAGAATATTTTGACATAGTCAGCGTTTTACTCCATATGCGAGTATTTCATTCCGGTTGAATGAGCTGCCAACGTGTGTGGAACATTATACTCGTTTCCTTCAATCGAATGTTATACGATGAGATGAATAATGAACTTCTATTAATGAATCTTGAGTCAATATTATTTTGAATAGTAGCTATGAATATTTTTGGTTCCTATCGTGACAATATTCCCTTACAACTGCTGAATTTGACATCGCAACAAAATATCCTCTATCAGATGTGTGCTTAGCAGTTTGCAATTATATACAAGACTCTCAAATCAGACAAAATATACAGTAGTGAAAAGTATCATGCAACAATATTCAATTAGAGAGTTCCAGAGAATCGGAAAAGTCAATAATAAAAATTTCGCTGGCTGGCGTAGAATTTGTAAAGGATCAACAAACCACTTGCCTCTGGTAGTAGACATAAACATTTATTTCATATCATTCAGTAGCGTGAATATAGTATCCAGTAGTATCCACACTACCCGTCAAAAATGACATTGATATGTCAATTAGTTCCAAAGTGTTTGGGACGAATATCTTCCTAATATTTTTATCAAATAGCCTGTAACTCAGACAGGGCAAAGTTCATCTTGGTGATTTAGGTTGAATCTTCAAATTTTGAGCCCAAGATTCTGTTGATGAAATATTTTCAGTAAATGATGATACATCCTGTATACTCATTCATTGGAAATGTGTATCGAAAATCACTTTGTCTTGAACTTCGGATATCGTCTTATATTGATGTAATGAACTTTTGGATCTTAATGATATCTTCCATTATTAATTTGGAAAGCAACCTTCAACTGCAGAACATTACCATCATTATCCCTTCCATTCGTATAATCAATTACATTTCACATCCTACGCTCGTGTACATTGAATTTTTTCATGAAATTGTCATGTATTTTTTGTTCAATAGTTTTTATCCCTCACCGATAGCATCAAACACTTGATGAGGAATGAACTCAGACTAATTTTACAAGATGCAATTTCCTACGAAACTTGTTATTAGTGGTGTTGTTTTTACAATTTCTTCAGTGATTTTTGGAATGGTAGCTTATGATCCTCTCATCAGATATATCATCAGATATGTGAGTATTAAAAAGGTCATCAATTCGATAAGTACACTTTCTATGGTTGAAATGAAATAAGAAATGTTTTGCACTGCACAATTCTATAGTTCATTCTGAAGAATAATTCAAATTCGTACCATCATAATATGATATTCATCTCAACTATCAACATTTATGATTCGATTCGAAATCAGGATGAATCTTGTAATATTCCTTTTCGACATGAAAATACTATCGGCAAGAACCATCAGGAGTGAAAATTGGTGCCAAAACAATAACATTCTAGGTGCTGAAAATGGTACCGTATGCGTCTGTCGAAGCATAGGGTGGTCATTTACTTACCGAAGTGCATCTAGATTTTAGGTCTGAGGGGCCTCAAATGTCCTATACAGCATATCTCACTTTGAACAACTCGCCATCTATATGGAAAAAATCGATTTAATCAGTTCTTCAGATATGAACATAAGTTTGGACAGTACCGTGCGTTCTGATGAAATGAAATATATCCATTTTTTATGAATTCATAAGAGGGCATTTGTTACAGGAGACCTGACATCATAATACTGTTCTTTATATGGTTTTTGGTATAGTATAATTTGAAGGGTTTCGAAAGAACAGGCACATCTATAGAGCATTTTTGCGAACGAGAAAAAGAATATCTTTTTTTCAAATCATCATTTTGAATCTACTGGAGCCATTGAACGTTCCAAAATTGGCAGTCGATTTGAAATCAAGAATGAAAATGCAAAAAAAATTAAGACAATCCTGTTAATTCGGAAGGTGATTTTCTTGCGTATTGAGTTATAGAAGCATGAGGAACAGGCTGCAAACAAATCCTCAGATGATTTCATACGAAACGAACTTTTTTTATTTTAATATAAAAGCACTGCGCCGCCCAAAAAGATTTACATCTCTGAAAGGCGTTAAAAGTGAGACACGCTGTATATAATATGAATCTAATATGCTAATAGCTGGGCTCATACTTTCGTCGAACATGATGATTCTAGCTTTCATAACAATTTATTTCATCTTCATTTTTTATGACCCTTATCGCGTTTCTGAAGGAAAGGGGACAATTTTCATCTCTATTCCTCCCCTTGAATGAGCATCTTTTTCAAAAAAGTGCAAAAATCGACCGAGAAGAGCTTCATTGGAGTTATGTACTGAATCGAGAGATTACCACTTTTGCCAGTGGAAGCGGTTGAATTTTCAAAACAGACATTGTATAAAACGCCACAAAAACATCGTCCTCTACCGAATAAATTCCTAAGAAGGCGCTGAAGGACCACCTATACTTTTTTTTTTTCGAATCCCGACTTTATACTCGGGATCTCGACTTTGAAGTCGGGGGTCTCACCTGTACAGGATGTCTCTTTATATTTTGATTTCTACCTACATCTTCAATTATACAAAGTGGAGAGAACTTCAAATATGAAAGTTGTAGGGTTTCGTCTGTACATACAATCTTTTTGCACCCTTTGAGCAAACAAATGCGAATCGCGAAATGAAAAAAAAGAGTATGATGGTACATTATTACAGAACTTTTGTGAACATTCGAACTTTTTATACTTACCTACCTATATATATACATATATGTACATATAATAATTTCACATTCATTGGATAATCATCACAGGATCAATCGAAAACCTCCTTTTTGGATGTACACTGAATGTCAAATAAAGGATTACACCTGTACGATCATTATCGTACGTACGGACCCCCGATTTCAATTTCGGGATCCAAAAAAAGAAATGTATAGGTGGCCCTTCAGCGCCTTCGTAAATTCCACCTAACTTTTTTCGCAGGAATTCATTTCATTATATACAATCGATTGTTTTTCATGAACCGAACATGATCAGATGATTGATTCCATAGAGGTAGATGATCGAAAAATATATACAGAGTGAGACAGAATGAGACCGACAAGATTTGTTTTCTGAATCCTCATTTTATTTCGGAGTGAAAATTTGAAATCGACGTCCGTCTTGGATAAATCCTGTCATAAGGTATAAGTAGAGGGTGTCTAAGGAACGGAAAAACTCATGATTTGAAATTTCATCCTGTAAAAAAATTATGAAAAATCAGCTCTGGTTACTCAACCTGATATATCCATAGGTAGGTGAGGAGGTTGAAAAAGTAATTTCTGGAAAATATCCCTGAAGATTTGAGATGTTCTCGAGAAGTTATCGAAAGTATTTGCCACAAAATCAGAGCCTTCCATAATCCAGGAGAAAATGGTTAGTTCTTAGAAAATAAAATACGAATTGAATGGCTTATAGCTCCGTAGATACCGTTTACATTCGATCAGATTTTAGTTGCTTGATTATTTCACGAATCATTCTCATAGGAGTATTGATGAGTTTGAATCAAACAATCTACTGCTGATGCATAGAATCGAATAAATTCTCAATCCCTTCGAATATTAAGTTCCATTAATATTTATATCGTGTTTTTGTTCCATCAAAACAATTTTCTCCTTATGAATCTTCTTTTCCAATGATGAATTTCATCCTGAACAAACGGAAGGAAAAAATTACTGACCTTGAAAAATGGTGCGTATTCTGGGAACTTAATGAATCTCAGTAGAACTGAATTCAAAATAAAGACATGCCTATAGGTATTTTTCGGGATATTCTCCAGATATTTCTTCTTCGTTTTCTTCACCTGTAAATAAATTAACTAGATCTGATCTCCAATTGTTATCTCACTTCCTAAATAATCTGAATAAAGATTTTTTCCACTCTTTCAACAGATGATGAAAAACGTACAGTGTAAAATGAAGTATGATTCTGAAAACAAATGATGTCGGTCTTATTCTGACTCACCCAATACGATACCTTTTTATCGTCTGCATCTAACAAATTGACCGTGTGCCTATGTGTGATTCATATATTCCATATTTCTTCAGAAAAATTAGGTGGTAACTCGGACGACGTTTTATGAGATGTTGAACACCGTCTGCTTTGAAAATCCGACCACATCCACCAACAGACACTTATGATGGATTTATGTAGCAGTTTCAAGTCTCAAGATTTGAGTCTAAATCATCAATAAGTCATAAGTCTTACGGAGTTCAGTCATCGCTTCTCAATATAAATGTATATACACCTGTCATTAACAGTAATAAGTTCTTAGTGGTGAGAAAAGTGGACCAACATTCATCTCTTACGACTTACTGTGTTTACATTTTTGATCGAAGCAAACCAAATTTAAAAAGAAACATGTACCCGCCGAATGATAGGAGAAATCTATTCTGTGTAACCTGAAACATGTATGAAACTGTTGAACAATGAGTAAAATGAGCTAATAAAGAGGTGCTTTCCTTATGATATGGCAGTCCTTATGATTGTTGCATCAATCGCCATTTTCCCTCACGACTCAAAACTTGTGACTCAATACTCAAAAATCATAATTAAAAACTCATAACTGCTGCATAATTCCACTATTACTAGGTTATTGACTTACTGCATAATTTCAACCACTTCAGCAGTAACTCAATAAAGAAGTGGCGCTTGTAGGTCGAATTTTGCACTTTTTCGAAATTGGTAGCGTTTTATTAAGCGAATGAATGATGCACGTGGAATGTTATTCTTTCAGTTTTGATTGTGACATGGATATGTTATTATAAGTGTCAGTGCCTTAGTGATTGAAACATGATTTTTCCACAAATATGTGATTGATTTTTAGCAAACAGCTCTCAGGAACAGTAATCAGATGAGAGACATATACTTGAAGATACCATTTCCTTTGGACTTCAAAATATTTTTTTTCAATGTATCCAATCCCATGGAGGTTCAGAATGGGGCAAAACCAGTTTTGAAAGAGATTGGACCATATTGTTATGAGTAAGTCTCTATATTATGATACATGTTGCGATTTCTGATTCTAAATATCCGATACAAATCCCTATATCAACCAATACTATCAATTTCTGAACAGAAATGATCCCATTATTGTTGCTAAGGACACCACATCAGTGCACCCGTTGAGGATTCGGGTTAGCTGAAGTAGAGTAATTGGAGGAAAATGCACTCGCCTTACTTCATTGCAAAAAACCTTGATATCTGATAATCCACCCTATCAACGTGAGAAATCAGTTCCGCTCTCACAAGAATATCTCACGCAATACACATATCATGCTTTTGATACCTAAGCACACTAAGGAGGTATTTACACAAACTTCTTCTTATAATGCGGCTCAACTTTTGAATGCCATCCCTGTGAAATATAAGGAAAAATATCATGAAACGAATAAAATTTATGTTCACAACGGCAAGTGGTGAGATGTTCGACGGCTTATCCAGGTCATCTTATAGATTCTTGGCTGATAACGTAACACTTCTCCGGAGGTTAGTTGTGGTCATGTTCCGATTTTCGGATATTGCTGACATTAGCCGCCACAGTAAGCAATTTTAGAACACTGAACAGTAGCAGTATCTTCAAATTCTCATCTCATTTCGGAAAAATTTTGGCAGTACTGGTACACTGTCAGGAAAACATAATCATAACCTATGAAAATTCGATGATTTGATTTGTTGGTTTTTATTTTCATCATCATATTGTGAATATCGGGAACTTCACGGGCCACACCAACGTTTCCCGTTCCTCCAACCCAAATTTTCGACGACGACGCGCCCTTTTGTAATCTCGCGCCTCTAGGCACGTGCCTAGTTTGCCCTATGGATAATACGGCACTACAAACGTCTCTAGTTGCCACAACTAGAGACGTTTTATCGAAAGTATATTGATTGACTTCATTGGACTTCTTGTAATGACAATAATGTTGAAACCAATGACTATCAACGCATACGAGTGAATTCTGATCATATTACCGTAACTTGTCATCGAATTACTCTTATAGGTGATAAGTATAACGATCGTTGACGAATATGTCTCGAGTACAAACGAACAAGGGCAAATTGTCATCACCGCGTCAGAAATACCTTTACAAAACGTGAACCTCGTTACATTCAGCAGAATGATAGTTACTTCGCTCCAGTCGGTATGTCATCTCGTGCGTCGATCATTTCCTTTGTTGAGTTGAGTTGTGAGTTCTGATTTGGAGTTGTGATCTAGTAGGAATTTGAAAAATGTTTCGATGTGTGCGAATACTGGGGTTCACCGAGACATTTAGGAGTTATATTTAGATTTGAATTGTTCGAGTTATTTTAGTTTCAACCAATAAGTACTCTGAATGTGAGATATAATTTCCAATAAATTTTGTCTATACTTAAACGTGTTCTTCCTAAAGTTCAATTCTCTCATTATCTTCCATCCACACAGTTCAGGTCAGTTCAGTTCCCAACTTCATGACAGCATTCAAATTTCTGTTGCAGCAATTTATCCTTACCTACACTTCAGGTATACGTCAGATTAATAATCAAAATTTTCAGTATCATTGGATAAAAAAAATAATCAGAGAACAAAATATTATTGAGAAAGTGAAATTTTTCATTCATTTACAGTGCTTCAATGGGTGGAAATTGTGCATTTTCAAAAAATATTTTTCTTGTTTTTTCGTTCCAAGATTATGTCGAAAGTTTGTTTTATAGATACTGGCACGAACATTGAGATCAACTGTGGTAAAATTTTCGAGGTCATGGTAAAGAACTTGCAACTTATCAAATGTTTCCTGAATTTTCTTCCCGATTTCGAAAGCTACTCAATGTTACAGAAATTTTAATTATATTGCCGACGGTGATCGTTTTATTATAATAACCTTCTAATTATTCGAAAATTACATCTCTTCATGTTCATCAAACATTGATGCCTGCGACACAATAACATTAACTAGATAAAAATTATAGATTTGAGTATGTAATCACTCACAAGACCGGATAAAATAATTGATATCCACAAAGTTTTGAGTTCTCATAGAATGTCAATAAAAATATCTGAAATAAGTTCATCTCCATGCATGATACATAATTACACGAACTGAAGGGCCGATGACCATCAGGCTAATTCAAGGTGAATAACACATTAGATGTTTCTGGTGTACCAGAAAGAAGAGAACACTGAGAAATATGAAGAGTATATTTGGAATCTTCTACCCAACTATAATATTTTGACATTGCGAAGTTGCCACTTCTATCTGAAAGTAGTTGCTGATTTGATTTTGCAAATGGAACACCCTATATTATAAAATATTACCTTGAGAGTCTCCAACAATTTCCGAATTTCTTATAGTTTTTCAGAACAGGTGTGTTCTGAAATTGGAATGCAATGTACCTATTTCACTTGTTGATTAGCGATAATTTCCATATTTCGTTTCACAAAAATCATTCTGTGATGAGTATTATTCTGTCAAAATAGCCTAACCATGTATTTTTTCACAGCGAGTATAAAGAAAAAATAGACGTAATTGACAATGAGATGGAAGATAGTTTGACGTATAATGGGTTTGATATCTATGAATTCAACGCAGAAAAATCCGGTAACCTATCTGAGAATGATTATGTCACGATAATACATCCTTTGATAGTGGTAAGTATTTATAGGTAGATGAGTATGGAGGATAGCGACTCAGTACATTCCATCACTCGTTATAGAATGGAATGTGAATAAGTGAGTAATGCATAGAGAAATGATATAGTCTGCACATTCATATTTGGAATATATTCTCGTTTAGGTCTCAGAAGGATATAAAGTCTAATTCGAGAGCCAATGAGTCTCTCTTTTATTTTGGAATTCACCAGTTAACATTACTAGAGCGTGAGGTCAATGTCAAAGTGAATCATTCCAATATTGCTGGATATCCCCAAAGGTTGTGGCGTCTTTTGTCGAAAATATTCGAAAAAATAAAATGTAGCCTATTTGAACAAATATAAGAGTCGAATTTTTTTATTTCCTTCTTTTTCTGTTTTGGATGAATGATAAGTTGATATTCATCTTACAGTGGCAGAAAATTCTGAATTGAGAAAATCTAATCACGAATCTGCGATTGAGGAATAAAAATAATAATTTTCAATAGTCGTCATGGCACATAGCCTGCATAGCCAGGAAAGTAGTTGTTTTCTGTTGGATAAACTTAGAAATAATTGATATTCTCATCACAGAGAATGCGAATTCTCAATGTATTTCTTTATATACATCTATTTTTTTATATACTGTCTATGTTCATGATTATATCTGACAATATTCCTTTTCAAAATTGAAGTTAATTTTACTCGATTCATTGGGATTATCTCTCCTCGTTTCTATAAAATGAAAATATATCATTTCAATATATTTGTTGTGGGACAAATCAGATGATCTGCCCCAAAATGTCACTGCTTTCAACAAATTTTTCTACCAGGGAGTCTGAAATAAAAATACAGTAGCTTGTCAGTGACAATTTGTTTGAAAAATGTTTGAAGGAAAGAACTATAGATATATTGAAAAAATATCGAATTTTTATTCATCTTTAGACGTTTCGGGACCGATTCTGCTCTCGTTTTCAACATATAAATGCATAGAAAAATATTTTTATATGTATAGAAACGGGGAGAGAAAATCTCAAAGAATCAAGTAAAATAAATATATACCACCTCCTCGATTAACCTACATACAGTATTCAATAAAAGTTCAATTTATGGAAAAACTTGGGAAGACTTGCTACACTCAATGTGGAACTTCACGACCAATTCTTGCCTATATTGACGAAGAAGAAGATATCGTAGAAAGAGGCCAAATGACGAGTGGAAAGTAAATATATATATGCATTAGTTCTACATCGAGAGAAATATCTATTAGTTGTTATACGAAACTGTATAACTGTTTATTGAATAATTCACACCATGAAGAATCTAACATTTCCCGAATCATTTTTGGTTCAATATTATATAATCAAGAAATTTCTCCAAAAATTATTAATATTTTCAAAATAGATTCCAATATAAAAATTGCTCTGGAAATCATAAAATCTATGAAATCAATATATACAAATCTCAGTTCTCATGTGTAGTTTATTGCATCCCTTGTAATGACTGTAATCTGAAATATATTGGTCAAACTTCTCAAAATCTCGAATATAGGATATCTGGCCATAAAAGTGATTGCAGACTTCTTAAAAGTGATCGTGGACTCGCTGAACATGTCATCACTAATGATCATCATATATGAAATTCGAAGAGACAAAAATTTTGCATTCAGAAAAAAATTCAACAAAAAGACTGTTTCTAAAGATGGTTGAAATTAATAATGAGGGTGTATTCCTCATTATGAATATAAATAAGAAAACAGATATTGATAATCTCAGTCAGATATATTCTTACTCATTATCTTTTTTTCATGATGATATTCAAAATGACTCTACCTTATAAGATATTCAACAACAATCTAATTTCAATATTTAATTTCATCCGGTATATAAATTATATGACTTTCGTCACTGTCCTATCAATTTTTATGTCTGCATTATTTATATTTTTTCAAACTCATTATTAGTCCAATTTTCACCTTCTATATAACCGAGCTTTTAACTCGCATTACAAGTGAGTTCTTGTTTTTATTGAATTCACTTGTAACAAAATGTTTCACATACAATATATTGTTTCAGCCTTGAAGAAGAAAATACGAATTTTCGAAAGCTTGGCATAGCAATGAAGTAGTTTGCTTGTAGCTCGATTGACGGAACTGTTTGCTAGAATTCTTGTGGATTTTGATATTTCCTATTATATCAAACTGTTCTAAAATCCATTATTTGAGGAAAAATCATATAATTGTGAAACAATAAAATAGTGATATTATGAAAATTCCATGATACTTATATCAATATCATTTGCTTTCAATTCAATAGTCAAATGATCGGCATTTCAGTATTATAGGGATTATTATCTCTTCAGGAAAATCAAGTGAATTGAAGATCGACGAGAAATATTGAAGATATATCTACTTAGTAAATAATTATTCTCACCGCCAAGTACAGTGCATTGAAGTGCATCACAAGGGCGAGATGTTCAGTGTCTCAATTTGCACACGACAAAAGTGCTTTCAATTTGGAGTATAGCTGGCACCATTAGATGATTGAAATTCCAGAAATTCAACAAATATTCAGTAATATCTGGTTATATATCAGGAAAATCATTTGAAAGAATATGAATATTTTCATTAGGAATCAATTGAGGGGTTTCCATCTCGTACATCGAAATTGAATATACTATCTCACAATCAGAGGTTGCGGTGGCTATAGATTTTTTCAAGATCTCATATCACGAATCTATTTCAATGCATTCATGTTGGGATAATGATGAAAAACAAATGAATATTTCTATTAGTAGGAAAATGGGCTTTATGAAGGTTTTACTTCTTCGCCACAAAATTGATGGAACGATGAATTTAACATTGATTTCAGTATGAGTCTGAGACAAGGTTCGTCGGGTGGGAAGGAATTTATCTTGCGAATAAGTGCTGAAATATTTGCTCTCGAGGACAATAATTCTCCGTATTAGATGGGAGTACAGAGCCAAAGCTGAAAATTTCTCCCGAGTGTTGTTATACTCATAGCCAAACCTATTTTTATTTCTCAACTTGCTCACCCTGTATCTCGAGAACTGAACCCTCAAAGACCCTATCTAAGTAATTATGAAGTCAAGAGGGCTATCACCCTGTCAAGCATTGTAGGTCGAATTCTGAAACACCCTGTATAAGAATTTTCCAGAATACCACAAGTTTTTGCAATTATCTCAGAAATACTCATGCATGAGACAAATACAGTGGCTTGATCCTATACGATTCAAATCTGAGATTCAACATCATTAAAAATATAATACGTTCAATGTAATGATTAGATTATGATTTTCAGGGAATGGCGTACCAAGTGAATAGAGACTCTCCGGCCCTATTGTCATTTTTGAATCAAGCAATCGGGCCATTATTCAAGGATCCTAAGTCAATTTACCTCACTGATACTGTGAAGAACGTACTCTTCGACGGATTTGATATAAATTGCAATGCTTCTATGTTCGCTGCGAAAGCTGTATGTACACAACTTGTGAATTTTAATATTCCAGGATTGAAAATCGATCCTTTACGGAAGAATATGATGACGTTATCCTTACTCGGAGTGGTGAGTGTGGTGGGATATGACATACCTCAAATTCTTAACTTTTATATTTCTCAATTTTCAAAATTATGATATACCGAACCAATAATAATCTACAATCATATTGATATCACCTATCAATAACAATAAATCATAATCTTATTATGATATATGTATAACTGTGATGAAACGAATCAAATTTATTGACAAATCATTCTTCCAGAGTGGAAAATTCAATATAGAATAGTTATTCGTGTATCAAGGGCGTGAATTAGGCCTGCAGCAAGAAAATTGCCCGATGGCGCCAGCCGAGGGCCATCACACGCTGAAGGCCATAAATGCATTAAACGCACGTGATGCATTTTATGCACTAGTGAATTATTTCTCAAGTCACAAGTAATGACTAGATGCCAATCAACAACATTTCATGAATAACGTATGAATGCAATAATCAAGAGAAGAAGCGTAATGGTTATGGGGAGTTCACATATTGAAAGCATCGTACGAATAACGCAATTGACGTACTAGTAGAACTCTGTGATCATCAAAAAGAACCATAAACCATGAAATACATGTATATATCTACATAATTTCGAAGTTGTCAATCAAGCTGTTGTCTAGCAATACAATTAAGCTGAATTGTCATTCTTTGGGTGGAAACTTTAGACAGCAAGAAAGCAATTGTTTAAAAGAAGTGCGTTACTATAGAGTGATAAGATTCATAAAATGAGATGAAAAAGAACATGTACACAGTATACCGCTGGAAATCAAAGAATCAGCTTAGGGTGCGAAATCAAATATTTCATGAATCGGTATGTGGATATAAGGAATTCGAGAACATAGGGGTACTTTACGGCCCGCGGGTGATAACAGAATCCGCGGTACGTGAAGTCATACTTCACGCCCGCATAACCGGTCGGTAAAGTACACTTAACCGCCCACTAGTGGATAAAAATGTAAAAAGTACATTTCAAAGTCTACAATGAACTGATTTGATTATTCGATAGTCAATGCCATGATGAAAATGAGATCAGGAAGAAAAATCAAGAATAATACAGAACAAACAACTACCGACACTCAAATATCAGCCAATTTACGGAATATTAAAAATGATATCTTCTATGAATAATTCGTTTCAATTCAATTTATTTTGTTTATCGTTTTCAACCTATTGCTGTTATCATTTTTCTCAGAATGGTTATTCGTTTCAGCTTTTCATCCGATTCTGAGTCGATACTGATTCGACTAAAAAGTGCATTTTCTGTTTCTGTTCCTCATGAATGACTTGATATGATTCCACGATTGACATTCATTTTGTCAGGCTGCTGAACTAAGAAACCTTTAAAATCTTGAATATGAAGGAAAAATCGCATTCTTATTAGTATTTTGTTCGGCATAAAACACTTCCAGTTTCGGTGTGGTGGAGTATGTGATATCCCAAGTGGATTGGATTGACTATATATTTCAGAATTTACGTAGAAACCACTGTTTCCGCTTTTTGTATGGAGTGACAGATTGCAATACTGAAGTTACCTGGCGTGAGAGGTATTTGACTCTTCCAATATACATTTTATTGTACAAATTATTTCGAGTGGGGACTCACTGAATCTATATGAGGAAGGTATTTATTGGTCAATTCCAATGATTGTTTTGATTGGCATATGAAATAAACATGAATCAACTTTCATAGTGGCGAACTACGTTCACGATGGTCTCTTCAGAGAATTACTGAATACAAAATGTTTTCACATGAAGTGGAAAAGTAGCAATGTTCATGATCATACAAATACACCCTGTGGTGAAGAAACCTATAATATATCCCAGCCTAGGATCAGATTCGTTTCCAAAACGTTCAGAAACGATAAAAATATGACATTTTTCCTGTATTCTTATATTCCTCTTCTCCAAAACTTTTTCAGAACGAAGTGCCATACTCTGATACGTAGAATCTTTAACAAAGTGACATTTTGGGGCAAAACCATCTGATTTGTCTTCAATAAATGTATATTGAAATAATACGCATATCTGCAATAATGAATATACAGCTGTATTCACAAACAAAGCGTACAAATATATCAGAGAAATAAATTAACGTCATCCAGGGTTTTGGTAATGATTGTTTACCAAATAGTTGTTATATTGAGTTGTCAAGGATACAAATCGTTGGCTGAGCCAGTTTTACATAACTATAGAACAAGGGTGTAGTTAACGTCTCTCTTCAATATTTCTACGCTTTTTCATTGAATACAATTGTAATTATTAGTCAAGAATTCACATTTTGTGACGAGTTCCAGGTTAGGTTATTATTGTTGATTATACCAGAACTTGATTCTGACTGAAAGTCACATTTTCAATAAATGAATAAATAAAAATAGAAGGTGAGTTACTAATCCTATTCAAATCAGAATGGCATATTATTCAACAAGCACATAATGATGGTTATCATACCTACTCACGAAGATGAAAATTGCTGTAAAAGCCTAAGGCAAGTGCTTTAACCACCTGAGTGGTTAATAGTACGAGTGGAATACTTCATATCAAATACAACTATCCAATTACCAAAGCATATTTGATAATTTCAGAATATGCCATCGTGAATCATTGAAGAAGTTCAATACTGCAACATTGCCAAGTCCAAATGGAAAAAAGATTCTATTTGCTACAAAAATTGGAATATTATGCGTCGTATTTCAATCTGCACTCTATCAGAATTGTTCATACTCATGTATAGAGACAAGACAAATTCTTGCGATCAGCAAATTGTCTATTCCAATAAGTTTTTGAAGATAACGAATATATCCTCAGAGAAATAGTCGGTTGTGGATACCAAAAGTTTAGTAAAATAAGCGCCAGTTACTACATTCTACAATTTAATAATACTACAACGAAATTGTATCATGCTATACTATAAGTATCAAACTATCTTGTAGTGGTAATTTTTGATATGGTATAGTAGGTATTATACAATTTTCTGGTAGTATTATCAGATGAATGTAGTGACTGGCGTCTATTTTACTGAAAGTTTGGTATTTATTAACGATTATTTTTTTCAGTGTATATAATTTCACATCCTCCTATGTATTGGTACAAAGGTAATCCAAACTATGAAGACTATGTAGGGCAAGTTCCGTATATAATTACTGACACATCATTTCATTTGCAATCTATATAGACTGGTAATCTGATGGAATACATGAGATCTCGTTGAAATTCAATGAAGATAACGTAGTCCCGGAATGACCCTTATATGTTATTTCTGACTGTTTCCAGCGAAATGCAACTCTCGGACCAACAATCAAAGTTTCTAGGGGTATAAGGCATTCAGAGGATTTGGGAAAAGTTCTGGAAGTTGATGGAAAGAAGGAAGTGACCCTATGGTCTACCAAGGCTTGCAATCACTTCAGAGGAACTGACGGTTGGATTATACCACCCCTGCTGAAGCCTGAGGAAGGACTCTGGACGCATTCTACTGACTTATGCAGGTTAGTTTCACTAAAACCCAGAAGAAACATGTTCTCCTTAAATTCATTGAAACATATTCTTCCCATATATCCTCCAGAATCGTGCTAGTTGCACTTCTTTGTGTAACTGTTTTCTCTGAATTCCATACGAACACATATTGATGCCGAACTTCGCACCGATCGAATACTATGTACTTCTTTCAAGAATGTTCAAGTGTTGACATCTCGCTGAAATTCACTTCATGATTCTTGATGCAATAACTAATAACTGATGTCATTCTGCGTACTGAGGATACTGTGAATAGCGCCGCTGAAAAGACGATTGAATGGGCGGACATGTTACCCAAAGACCCACCAACGAGTATCATCAGAGATCAGCATTCCACATCATGTTACATCGAAATACGAAGGATGTTTTTCATATTTGACACCATCTTGTTTGAATGAGTTCATTTCATTATTGGATACAACAGAATTTCAAGTGAGATCTCAGCTAAAGTATAACGGACTTGTATAATTGTTACTTCTATTATACCTACTGTTCTCTCATCAGATTATTTGATATCACTTACACTATTACATAATTATATTCAAAATATTTTGAAACGTGTACAAATCAAGAATATTGACTGCGCTGTTTTGCTAAATACTGAACAATGTAGTTAAGAGAATGCTCGATTATAAATACCTATGCTGTGAAATTGAATTTCAAGGGGGGGGGGGGGGTAAATAGCCACAGGCTAACCCCTTTTTTTTGTGTGTAACATTGTTGTACACAATAAGAGTTATTTGTTCGTTCAACTAGGTAGCGAAGTAGTAGATTGACTGCCGAGGCTGAATTCATACCGGAGCGGAGCGAGGCTAAGAATTCATCCAAGGCAGTCAATCTACTTTGCTGCCGAGTTGAACATAAAAGTTTTTCTTTGATTGTTTTATGATATAGGAATATATTGTATTTGCAAATTATCACAATTCCCACGATCTCTTAATTTTTCCTGTAGTGTTAAATTAAAATAAAATTTTATAGAAATTGCAATGGTTGGTTGCTATGGAAATGTCCATGATAAATATAGTTTGCCAATTCATGAAATTTCTGACAGTTGTGCGGAAAAAAATCGGTATATTTCAATTATTATATAATGGACAGTGATAGCGACCTGGAAGTAGAGTTGAATTTGTTGCTAATAAATGTTATTCCCATTTGGTATAATCACTTGGCTGCCTAGGCAGAAAAAGTAATACTTTGCTGATTGGTATGTGTCAGCAAAATTATTATTTGATGCCAATCGGAGAAGAACGATATCATTCTCATTATTTTTATTATCATTATAAGTTAATTCTTGAAGTCTGCTGCGTAACATAAATAGTGCTTTCTCTTCATTATAGGGTACCAAAGGTTCATAAAAACTATTGTTTGATGAAAATACCCATTTTGCATAATCTACTTGTGACATATCCGACCCAGAACATGGGAATAACAATGAAAACATCAATAATTTTAAAAATATTGTAGTAGGTACCCCAATAAGAAAAAGTACTATTCATATATACATATATATCCCATCGGATCTCAAGAGTATCATTGTCATGTAATAAATAGGTCACTATTTTTGTTCCCCTACAAACTATGGTTGCTATCTTTCTATGTAATTTCGGGACACCTCGTATATATAGAGCAATATATAGCCTCAGATTGTCGAATCATAGGAAACAAACTGATATGGACAGACACGATATATTTTCAATAATTACTCTTCTATATATTGAGGTGTTATGTCCTGAAACGATTGATGCTTTCAGTGCGTTTGTGTAAAACTTATCGTTCGTGGAGTTTTTCACAAGCACGTCGTGAAATAAGGGGTTCAAATTAAATATTTACCGATATATTTCAAAAGTATAGTTCACCTCATCGAAGAATTGAGAATCTGACCTGTATTGAACAATTTATGCATATGATAGTATATGTTTTGAAAACTAATTTAAATCGATGAGTTGATGGTTTCATTCTTATACTCTCATTCTTCTGTAAACACTTGTATATAGAATTCTGAACTAGAATCAGTACTAGCTACAAATATCCAGAGCTATATACTATTCGAGAACTGAATTCCACTTATAAAAACTGTAAATACTCAATATTTTCAGGAACATAAAAGCTGCATATGTCAGAGATAGTGTGGTAGAGGGAGTCAATGTTCGAATATACGAAGGCGACTTAGGCGACATGCAGAAAAATGAAGAAGAGAAATGTTACTGTCCAACTCCGAAGACATGTTTGAGAAAAGGTGTTTTCGATGTATCCAAGTGCATGAATATTCCTGTTCTCGTATCGTTGCCACATTTCCTGAACGCAGACGAAATATACAGACAACAAGTCGAAGGGATGGAGCCTATACATGACAAGCACATCATCAGTATATACCTGGAGGCGGTGAGTCATAAGTATTTGGAGATCATTTTGTTCACATCACGAAAGTAATGTGAAAACGTTATAGGTTTTTCCTGAATATAGCTGGTGTACATCAATTGTAAATTTTTGATGATAACCTACGTCATTTTATAAAGGGTAAATGTCTGTTGGTCGGCTGATAATATAATTCTGAACCTCAGGAAATGCGAAACAAGTCCTGAAACTCACATAAATATTCATATTCGTTCCATCAATAAATGATGATTATGGAAGTTGCACACAGTTTTCAGAATATTCGTATGAAATAGATGGAATATCTTCCTTGGCCAACATCCACAAAGGAATTGACATGCAATCACACTAATTCTTGATCCTGTATCAGGCAACAGACGAAAAATCGAAAAATTGAACCACACAATTGAATTATGTTACCATCTCCAATCAAATCATTCTCTCAATTCGTAGAAATTATTTTGATTCAGAAACTGATATGTATGTAGTCATCACACCGAATTTGTATTCATAAATATGATGTGAACAATCTGAGAGATAGATGAAAATTCTGTGAGAACATCGTGAATAAAAATGAGGCCCAAAATAGTTATTCCACCGTGTTACCAAAATTCTCGATGTTTATTCACCTCAGATCAAACATTGGATTTCATACTCTTTGGAATTATTATTTATAATCGCTATCAGTCATCTCATGTGATTACACAAACAATTGACTCCTGATAAACAATAAAATAGTTGGTTCTAAATTCAGGAATATTTCTGCTAGTATATAATTGTACTATTTCTAGTACTATTCATCAAGTTTCAGTACGCTTGTACTACTTATCGAAAATAGAGACTATTCGAGTTCTTTTTCTTATCAAGAATGAGATCTTTTATAAAAATATAAGAAGACTGGAAATTTCCGCGTCAAGTGAAGGAGAAGAATTAATGACAAATGATTTAGACATGACTGTTGACTTTCATCTTTCAAGTAGACGTTTGAAATTTGGGAATTAATCATTCGTTCACATGGGATTGATTCAATTCGAAAATATTTTTGGATAGAGATAAGAAAACTATTCTGTATATTTCAACATTTTAGCTCTCACCTACAGAAAAAAACATTTTTCTGTAGACATTCCACCTATATTTCAAAAGCTGGACCCTTCCAGAAGCTGCAGATATTGTTACTGAGGAACTGATTCATAAATCTGACATAATCTTCTAATAATCTAGTATCTTATACTCCAATCGAGTACGAAAATGAGATAAATTCTAGTACGATAAACTTTAACCCAGGATTATCACTCACTTGGTATAAATGATTCATTATTGACAAAATTGGACGGTTTACTCCTGAGGTACAGATATATATCGTTTTTCACGAGTATATTATCAAATTGTCACCCAACATCATTGATTGATCATTTTTCAGATGACATCAGCACCTCTGTTAGCAAAGAAGCGAATGCAACTGAATTTTCCAATCGCTCCAATTACCAAAATATCGCTGATGAGGAATATACCTGAGGCATTGCATCCTATGTTTTGGCTTGAAGAGGTATGATCGAGGTTGTATCCTAAATGATGTCATCAATTTCAGGTGGTTATTCCTTATTGTTGTATCATGGGAAAGGAGTTCATATGAACGTGTGTCCCATTTTTTTTTTTGTATTTTTTTTTCCATCGCTTGGAGCGCACGAAAGGAAATCCCTATATAATGTTCAATGAGCATCGTGCGTTCCTGAAGAGGGAAGGGACAGGAGGTAGGTTTTGGAATTTTTCTTGAACTTCTGGAGATTATAATTATGTTGTTGGGAATACTTCCTCAGGCAATGAATTCCAGAGCCTAGACGTTCTATGGATGGAGGAGTTTTGATAAAGTGCTGTTCGACATCTTTCGAGGTTGACAACGAAAGGATGTGCTAACTGGGCTAGTCTAGTTCGTCTGACTGGCATTGCCAGTGAAGGGATGATAGCAGAGATTTCCGAAAAACATTTCTCGTGGAAGTATTGATAGAAAAGTGAAAGGTCACCGACATTTCTACGGTGTTCCAATGATGTCAAAGAGTGAGTGTGTGAGACGACACCCACCAGGCGAATGGGTCTTCTCTGGATTTTCATCAATAACTCATGAGTCTTTACGTCGATTTCGATGAAACTAGGTATGTTAGTTGAGAGTCACAAGGAAATTTTTATTTATCAATAGAAAATCGATATTTCATAAAACTTTGGACACCCTGTTACTCGAAAACGGTGGAAGTTAGGACACACGTTTATGTGAACTGTTTTCTCAAAATATGACAACAAATATCCATCTGAAATTGATGACATTATTCAGGTTACACCCTATACAGGGTGTCCCAAAATACCCTGCCAAACTCCACCAGCGGCTTCCGTGACCAAAAATAGGAAGAGAAGTTTCAATGGATATGAGTCGAGGAATGTCCCCTAAGGAATAAGCTACGGCCCCATGAGAGGGGGCTCTTGAAGATGATATTTCTTGAATATTTCCGAAACGCCACGTGATAAAATGATGCAATTTGGTACAAGACCTGAACTTACCATGCCCAATGCGGTGAACATGAATCATTTCAAAGTGTCATTCAGGAGTGTATAATACAGGGTGGGACTAAGGTAAGTGCGGGTATTAAGACCTAGCTAACTGAGATTTGAAATAAAATGAAAAATATTCTTCTGAATCGACAAATTTTACTGTTAATTAGAGTTAGACATCAAGTACTATCAAAAATAAACAAAAGGAGGCAACTTCTGCCGTTGACAAAAACGAAATTATGAATTCAAAAAAACCTTGTCATTGGGCCTTATTATACTAGGAGGTTAATAAGGTCTGAGACTCTCACATTCATAAAAAATAAAGATAGACGCCTAACATTTGGTACCTACTTGAGACCAATAATCAATAATTATGCATTGATCATGCTCAGGTCTTGAAAATAACGGCGAATTTCATTGTATAACAGCCATCAGGACCTCAAAATCATATGAACGATCCGCTGAATACCAGACGCACTCATCGTGATACCACTTGCCGCATTCAGATCATCATCTGGTGGCAGTGAGCGAACTAAAACATCGCTGGAAGTTTGAGACGCCATCTATGAATGTTAGCAACCTGCCAGTATGACCTTGAGTGATATGGATAATTTCAACTCGCATTCTCATAAGGCCTTATTAGCCGACAGGGCTTATTACCCGCACCTACCTTACATCAAATATTGCTCAAACTTTTTCGTATGCATATTTTTTGACAATCTAATCTCGGATTATAAAAATCCACTGTGTTTCACGAACAAATGTTCATCTGTTCCTCATCGATCAGATATATCATGTTCGAGTGAAATTGATTTAAAAATATTGATGCACTCATATCTCATGCATATATAACGTTGCCAATTTTCAAATCATAGGGGCTATAAAAAAATAAAGTACCTTATTTCCACCAAACAATATCATAAAAGCGCGAAATATAGAAAAAAGATGATGAGAATAGTTATTTATTATACAAGGGAAAAAAGTAGTAGATTTTAGCTCCAGGGAGACAACAAACCGTGAGCTAAAATCTAATATTTTTCCCGTGTATAATACACTATTTTTTTCTGTGACAGAAGAAATGACGAATCAATATTGAGAAGATATTACATTATTTTGATATCTGAAAATTATCGACGTGAAATTTTAAGTTCTTAACAGTAGGGACACCGCGTTGTAGGCATCTTTTTCATTCATTTGAAGTAATCAACTATCTGATGTCACTTCTGTCAGTCTAATTTTGTGATTTCATCTCAAGAAATTGCGAATTCAGTGGTTATTTAGCAATATACATAACCGCGAAGTCGAATGGAAGATAAAAGGACTTGCAGTTCTTTCTCGGAGACGGTATTATTGACTCATTTTTCGGAACTATAGCACAACAAAAGCCATCAACAGTGTATATATATGTGATATATATCCGGTAAAGAAGTACTCACTTTTTTCCCACGAGAAAAAGTAATTTATGAAAAGTTACATTTTATAACCTGCCAACAGGGATGAAATGCCAAACTTTTTCCCCGTCACAGAAAATGAATAATTTTTGTGCATTGTTTCCAATTTGCACTATGCCTCATTGCAATGTTATTCATGATATCTGAGATGTAACAATATTTTCAAATTGCTTTCACTCGTTGATAACACATCTGATCGTCACGGATCAGGGGTACATTTTCTCTGTAAAAAGGTTTGGAATTTCATAATCCAGGATCAAATTGTCGGAAGATATGCATACAAAAAAATTAGAGCAATATTTTAGGTAGTCCCACCCTGTATTATACACTCCTGATCGAATCTTTGAAATGATTTCATTTTCACTGTATTGGGCATGGAGAGTTCAGTCATTGTACGAAATTGCATCTTTTTATCACATGGGGTTTCGGAAATACTCGAGAAATATCATCTTCAGGAGCCCCCAATCAGGGGGCCATAGCTCCGTCAGGGGACAATTCTCGACTCATGTTCTTCGAAAGTTTTCTTCCTGGTTTTGGTAGTAAAAGCCGCTGGTGAAGTTTGGCAGGCTAATTTCGGGACACCCTGTATTTGCGTACTTTTATGAAAATTGAGACACACTGTACTTACTTGAATTCACCTTCAACGTTTTTAAATTGAAGGGGGTTGAGCTGAAAGGGGAGTTTCTCAAACTGATTACCAGTAAACTGATGCTGTTGAAAGTTGGAGATACCAGCCGCTGGCTAGCAGTTTTTGGAGGACTAGTAACTATATGCGTCGGTGCATATCTTTACAGCAAAAATAGAAAGAGCATCAACATCACTCCCATTCATTTGGCGGAGAGTGATATTGAGATTACGAGGAGTACCAATGAATTGATGGACCAAATGAAGAAGGAATTCAAGAAGGAAGAAAATAGTCAGGTCAATCCGGTGATGACTGGACATGAGTTTGATAGATATATGTGATGAATTCAAGAGGAATTTCAAATAAAAAATCCATATGATGAAATGTGAAATCTATACGAACATTATAATATGATGTAAATGTAGCGCATTGTTTTGTTTTTTCTAAATGTCCATTCAATCATAGTTGAGACTGATGATTCCAAGCTCGCAAATCATTCGGGTGAAAAATTTCCTTATTTTGATATCTCCTTGATGGGGTCGATCACCCACATTCATCATAGAAAATCTATATATCAAAATGAACAACATCTGAACTATTATCTATTATTTTAATGAAAATATTGTTTCATGAGACCAGAATAAAAAATATTGGTTAACTATTGTTCTGTGAATACACATGAGTGGTTGATATATTCATTTCTAATAAGCAAGAAAGCAACGGTATCAATTATTTTCAGCGTGTAACGTTTGATGCTGCACGCGTAGCGGCAGGCATTAAACACACATGGGAGGAAATGAACCTCTAATCCCAAGAGATATACAGGGTGTTTCTTAAGTACGTGTAGAATATCCAGGAGCATGTCGTTGACGTCAAAATAGGAAAAAGAATTCGTGTACATCTATGCCCGGAAGTTATTCGTTTCTGAGATAAAAGCGTCGAAGTTGAATTATCATTTTTGTGTTTTGAAAATAAATTTTGAAATGACCATGATACTCGAATGGAGTTTAGTATGTAGAAGTATTTTCCAATGATAATATCAAATTTTATGTCAGTTTTTCATTTTCGTGGGGGTGGCGCCACCTACATGTCCTTTGAGTCTTTTGAAATGTCATAACTTCTTTTTGCGTACCTGTATCACGTTTTATAGATTCCTAGAACACTTCAAAGGAATTGTCAAATATACATATTATGTATATCATATCATAGTCTCAAAATTAGGATCTGTCTTGTCCCAGAAAGCAAGGCATTTCTCGAAACATATCATTTCTCATTATATCAACATGTTATTTTTTTGACGCGGACTCAATTAGAACAGAATTATCAGCTCATAGAATCAACACATTGAGACAGAATTATCAGCTCATAGAATCAACATATTCGAGGAATGTCAAAGAATACGTAGCTACTTTGAATGAATTTGTGCTGAAAGTTAATCGTATTTGAATGAATCATAACTCTCTTTTATTCACGTTACGTCATTTTCTTCGAAAGTTCATTGATATAAATCATTCAGAGATATAATCAGATTCTCATTGTCGATAGGTCTTTTGTATATTCTTCTTCGTTTTAATATTATTAAATAATATTTTATCGATCTATTCTGATATAACCCCCAAAATAAATAACATAGCTGCACTCAATCACACATTTATTTACATCAAATCACAAAAAACCTACACATAAAATCAAACAACATAACAACCTCTTTCCTCAATCGATTTTGATATTTTTTCTACTCGCACTAACACTATTCGTTACGAAACTTCGCAACATCAATTTCAGCACCTGTTTAACAATATAATACAGCAATATAGCACCAATGAGTAATAGTAGCACAACATCCAAAATGTAATACTGGATAACCCCAAGATGCCTTGAATGTGATTGTAGATGTTTCGCACCCTTGTGCCTCAAAACATATTCAGTCCAATACACTGCTTTATGTAGAGGAGTTTCTGATTGATCCATCAGAAGATTCTGACGTCTCTTCACCTCTTCTCGGTATTTCGGGTCGTGTATCACCTTCTTGATAGCCCAAAGTAGCTTATCAGCAGTTAAAGTGGACAAGTCTAACTTCAGAGCATAACCATCGACTTCTGCTTTCGCGGCATTTGAGTCGTGGTCGCAAAATACTGGTAGAGACACTACTGGAACCCCATGGAATACTGTCTCGAACATACTCAGAAGGCCTCCGTGAGTGACGAAAGCACGTAGCTTAGGATGTCCTGAAACAAATCATAGTTTCGGCTGTATATACCGGGTATCAACAAATTTTTCAGACAAGTCATGGTTTCCAGAGCTCCAAAGGTTCGAAATCCAAATTCAATAGTTATGTAGGATACGAGACTATAAGGAGATTGCAATTCTCCATATTCTTCCATAACTTCTGAAGCACCGGAAACGACTCGAACGTCCGTATTCCTTTACATAATCTGTTAGGGATTATGTAATGGAATATATACTCGTGTCTGCTAAAACCAAAATTGATGGGAGAGTATGAAATATTGGAAAATGTTTTTCTTGAATTCAACATGCTTGCCAAGTTTGATGATCATCATACCTGCACAACTCTTGGAAAAATGGCTTGTTTGATGAATACCTCGACAATCCATATGTATAGAGAAGTGAATTATCATAGTAGATATTTATTTCAAACTGAATATTGAAGTGAAATCGAACGTACGTATATTATTGAAGGTAGGTATATTAGAGAAACTAGGTGACAGATCTCCAGAAAACAATTTCCTGAAATTCCTGAAAATGAACCTATGTGCGCAGACGCTTCGTTTCAATTAGTCATATAAGATGATATTGAAACCTTCATAAGACAGATAGAAGGCGAAGCTACATTGAACACAGTAGATATGCATTTTTCCATCATGATATGGACATACTCGAAGTGACCATAAACAATTTCTCATTTCAACCAATAGAGTTTTGCAACTTTCGTTCCGCACGGGCAGGGTACTATCGTGAATTCTCCAAATCGGAATGTGAAGACAGAATATAATTTTTATGAACATATATGTTCAATCGAGCATCTAAGCAGATCAAAACAATATATTGATCCTGATCGTTACAGAATAGGCGAATATTAGTTTTCCCATAGGTTGGATGTAGAACATATCAATTTACAACTTGAAGTTCACTAAAACATAGCAGATACTGCTACTTTGATTCAATACTTCAATCATTCATCACTCGTCCACCATTCTTTGAATTCATTAGTTAGACTAGCACAAGAAGTATCATCAATTGGAGATAGTGGTCATACTACAGTAATTGATAGCTTTTGTCGCTTTATCTAAGAATTCGACTATCTGCCGTCGGTGAACAAGACGAGAGAAAGAAATTTTTGCGACGAGTTGGCCAGAAAGGAGATCGACAAAGTTATCCCGTTCGGGCCGACCTAGATCTACAAGATGTTGGCTAGTTTCCGGATGGACCAGATTGAGGCTAGCCAGGAGGAAGCTGAAGAGTTTCTAAGTTTCCTGCTGAACGGCCCCAATGACGAAATGCTGAAAGTGATGATACTGGTTTCGAATTCTAGAGATAAATGGAGTGTTACTAGAGGTACGGAATTTGAAACAACGCTAATACGCGCTATTTTCGCTGGTCTATTGAAATCAAAAATCCTATGAACTGGAGATGCTACCACGAATAAGATTCAACCATGTCTGTAACTGAACATCGAGAAAGTGGAGATACTGATAAACAATGAACAGCTGGAAGAATTGACCTTTTCTGAGATGAACGAAGTGGTGGAAGCGTGGCAGCAATTGATGCTGAACAGTCTGCCAGTCATCCTCATTTTGCATCTGGAACTATTCGTTTCCAAAACAGACGGTTGCACCAAGATTGTCAGGACGTTAGAATTTCGTCTCGATTAAGGAATTGAATCGGAGCTGATATCATCGGAGGAGCAAACGCTCGAAGAGAAGCATCACAAGTTGTTCGCCGTGGTTTACCACGAAATCCCGAGGCGTTGGAGAATCTTGCTAAATTTCCGTAGTTTCAAACCAAATTCACAGGCACCATGAAACATTCATTTTAGCTGACATTTTCTTTTTCACAATTTTTTGTTTCAATGAAAACGGTGAGCATCATATTTTCGACATTCAACGGTGAATTCATAAAAAACACGAAGTTCTAACTCACTGAAATCCTGTGATAATAGTTTATTTCCTCACTTTTGGTGCATAGAATTGAACGAATGTTGAGAGTTTGAAATAATCTCCATACATTGCAGCAGTCAGTTCATGATGAAAGCACAATAAACTCACTCACTTAATAATATAATATCAGTACCTGCTGAATGAACTACTAATGCTCTCAATTTATTATATTTCTCTTTGAAATTCGAACAAAATCCCGAATATGCTGAGAATTGACACTCGTGACATATGTCAAGATCAATCTCAGATTATTTTCTGCGCCCTGTCTCTTTTGCGTCCTATCACTAGATGATCCTTATCAGTTATAATTGAATTCGTGCATCATCAACGGGACGCCTCGGGTCTTGAAAGAAGGTAAACACGACATCCTTGAGAGTGTAGTTCAACTTCATAATAAGATTCGAACATTTTGTATCTTTTCAAGGAATTGTCTATCGTTCACGCCATTTATAATCGGATATTAGAACCCCACATTCTGAACTCGCATTCAATTGTTCATTTCGAGAGCTAGCCTGACGAAACAATTGAAGAGTAGGCCCAGCGGAGGAATCATGGATATCTCAGCTCCAACCATCGTGAATCTGAATGAGAAAGCTAGATAGTAGGAAATAATGTTCAATCATACCTCCTGGCATAACAGCTTCTTCAATAAAAATCATTACCTAAGATATCTTGTTGTGGTAACCATTTTCCCAGCTTGACGTTTGAAGGTAATTCCAGCAAATCATCCTCGTCAGCCTCATATTTCCATAAAACTCGTTGTGGTAGTTTTCTGAAAACGGTCATGAGCATTTTTCTTAAGAAAATTGGCATGTTCACTGCTTTTACTGATGAGCCCATGCTAAAATAGATGAAACCTGCTTCGCCAGATCCTCTTATGAATTCCTCTAGATCCTGTTAACAACAAAAAGTTTGAAACTCAAGATATCATAAAGCAATGATGAAATTCATAGCACTCATTGAAGATACTTCTACCCCTATATGGTATGTTTTTTCTATACAGGGTACATCTGAAAGTGAGAGTCAAGATTTGCTCACATAAAATATTTGAGATAATGAAGGTTCCGTTATTTAAAGGTTTGAAGAAGACTTCAAGTTTGGTATGAAACATTTTGTTCACATTTTCTCAAAAAACGCTGAATAGCCAATAAAAGTCCAGTGTGACACTTCGAGGACGAACATCTCTCAATATTTTCTCAGCTGATGACAATATAAACAGTTTGCGAAACACCTCAATTTATATATCGATGGTGACCCTGACGGTGAAGGGGTCAGAGGAAATATAACAACAAATACCCCAAAAGTTGTCTATCCTGATAAATATATTGAGGGCTGCTCGATTTCGAATTGTCATACTGTATACACAGTATATCATTTAGGCTAATCGAGTTGAGCAGAGAATCGAAACTTTTGTGGAACTGAGTTAAACTTGATCAGATTACTCCTATATCAAAATATTGTTTACAATTCCAAATGAAAATTCAGGACACATCAATTTGTTGCAAAGATTTCCAGTATATTGGCACTGTTTCTTCATTACTATAATATGAGCTCGGTATCGTATCGTATGGTTTTGATAGATGATAAAAGCAGTGCCAATCTGAATTTAGGTATGTATACATCTCAAAAGATTGTTATCAAAAGCTATTGAGGCAGCTCCAAATACATTATTTGAGGTGATCTGTCATATTATAATCTGGCTTAGGGTACTTCTGGATGAATCACGCTCCGAAATTCTATAGAAAAGCTACATCTCAATGAAAATTCCTTCGATCTGGATCAATGCGCTTCAAAGAAATTAAATTGGGGAACTCAGGACCCGTCTCGATTGCCATATTACCATCTCAATTGGTGTAACTTCTAAATTTTAATGTGAATTGAAGTCTCGAAACTTGAACACTACAGTCAGGTATAATAAAGATTGATGCATCACATTCTGATTCTCAAACACATCAAGATAATATTTTTTAAATTCATCATCCCCCTACTTCAAAAAGAATTACATCGTGTAGTATAATCAAGGACAAACTTACAAAAATTGCAATATTTCAATTTTAACCACGGAATAGCTCCGTTTTCGTCATAACCTGGATTAAGTGGCTATCGTGCATTGATTTTCATTGAACTATACTGACATGGAAATGAAGTCATTGAATATTCAGAATTGAAATATCTGGATTCCATTTCAGCTTTATCATGAAAATATGAAACAGTGCATGCGCAACTCGAAATTCATGTCAATCTTGATGAACATCAATTGCTTAAAATCTATGAAAATCAATATTGAATTAAGGAAAGAGGAAGCGGAGAATTGTTCTAATATTAGTACTTCAACAACTCACCACAGGAAGAGGTTTTGCCCTCTTACAATGAATGCAAGCTATCTCAGCAACATTTGGAAGATAAGGCCTTGGGTATGTCATCGTTGGATGACCATTCTGCAAGATAAAGCTAACGTTTTTCGACATGTCGTAGAGTGGTGGCACATCTTTGCCAAAATGGTTTCTCACAACATCTTGTAAGATATAGCGTACCTAAAATGAACAATTCATAATCAGAAAAAAGTCTTATGTATTTTATGTGTATGCCATATTCTTCCTCCAGTCAGATTTTTATAGTTTCTTGTTGCATACTGTCATCTTCTGGTTGTTTTATGGTAATAACACGTTACGTTCTGGAGAACTCTATGAACAGGCACGAATAATATTTTGTTCATATCATGTTCATGAACATTCAAATAACTTACAATAATGCTTTTGGGTGTATGATAAATTGACATTCATCATACAGGGCGTGGAAATGAATTCTGAATTGAGACTCTATCACGAATCTGCGATTAGAGGTCTATAAAAATCACAAGTTTCCATCGTTCAAGTTTGAACCCCCTGATTGGGTATAAAAGTGTTGAAAAGGAATATTCTCAGATGAATTATGAACATACAAAAAAGGATATATATTTATATAAATCAATACATTGAGAATTCGCATTCTCTATGTGATGAGAATATTTACTCTTTTTCAGGTAATTCAATAGAAAACAACTACTTTCCTGGCTATATGCCACGACGAACATTGAATTATATCTATTGAACACACACGATAAGAGTTTGAAAATAAAATATAAGAATTTCTGAAATTGAGAATTTGCATTCTCCTTCAGACAAAAAAATGTATATACTGTTCCTTCGAAAATTACACAACTGACTTGATATAAGTGGACTGTATGATTGTAAAGTACGACTCACCCGAAAATTATTGATCCTGTGTTGGTTTTCTTCTTCTTGCATCAATCACTAGGTTGAAAAATGAAGGATAGGTCAGGAAGAAAAAATAGGATTCAAATTTAGGAGGTGATTGTTCTTCTTTCTCTCTTTTTTTGTGCACTCGTATAAAATTAATCTAAAGCACTTTGATATTTGCCAACAGTTTAATCGATCTTCGAAAATCTATGCTTATCAAGAAAATACCGACCGCCGTTCAATTTTAATTTCTATTGACTGCCTAAATTTCAGCGGAGCGTTAACTCTTTCAAAAAACCAAAAGCGATGTTGCCAAACGTAAAAGGGAATTCAGCGTGAACATACCCCCGACCCTGAAAAATAGTTTTTCAGCAAAATGGAAAAATCATCAAAAAATATTAATTCAAATAAGGCCAACCATTCAGTTATTCATTTACAAAATAAAAGTAAAATATTCCTAGATCCCTATACCTCAAACTAGTCGACGATAAATCCCGACTACCTAACCTAATAAATTATATATACAAGTCACTGAGTCGGTAAAGGGCATATTTTCACGACGGGACGAGTGAAAAAACCCTTGTTCGTTTTTACTACGACATTTCGAACGACTCCATCATTTCCAGGATGAATCTCTGTGACGATTGCCAGAGGCCAGTGTAAAGGAGGTGCATTATCCGTCTTTACAATAACCACTGAACCTACCTCAATGTTAGAATTATCTTTGTACCATTTCTTACGCGACTGTAGAGTATTCAAATATTCCAACCTCCACCGTTTCCAAAAATCCTGCACCATTCGGTCCACTAACTGGAATCTGTTTAAACGATTCAAAGGAATATTAGAAACGTCTTCACTGGGAAAGCCGCGAAGTGGAGATAAAGTTAAAAAATGCGCTGGTGTTAGAGCATCAGGTGCCGAAAAATCAGACGACAAACGACATAACGGCCTTGAATTTAATAGAGCCTCTATTTGGATGATTACGGTAGACAACTCCTCGTACGTCAAGAGCTGAGTTCCCACAACCCGATAAAAATGACTTTTTACAGCTTTTACATTACTTTCCCATAAGCCGCCCATATGGGGAGCCGAGGGAGAATTGAAACGCCATTCTATGTTATTCATTATCAATTCCTTTCCAAACATTTCAACATATTCGGACGAATTAACAAATTCCTGGATTTCTTTCAAAACCGATTTTGCGCCAACAAAATTTGATCCATTATCCGAATAAATAAATCTTACCGGACCCCGCCTAGAAATGAACCTTTGAAAGGCTTGTAAAAAATGGTTTGTTGATAATGAACTGACCAGTTCTAAATGTATGGCCTTGACACTCATACATATGAATAGACTCACGTAGGCCTTATGCACCGCAGCATTTCTCCTTTTGCCAAGCGTTATCTGAATAGGCCCGAAATAATCTACACCGGTGTGCAAAAATGCCCGGCTTTCTTTCACACGGGCCGGTGGTAAATCAGCCATTAGTGGAGATAAATTATTTGGATTCACGCGAAAGCAAATATTGCATTTATGTATTCGACTTCGAATTATAAATTGCGCCCCCCTAATATCCAATATTTTTGTCTCAAAATTGCTTCTAACAAATGTGCTCCGGTATGAAGATGGATCTTGTGATAGAAATCTACTAATTTTTCCGTGAGAATATCCTTTGCTGGCAAGATTATAGGATGCATTCCATCAAACCCCAGATCAGCATTACTCAAGCGACCCCCGACCCTAAGCAAACCATCTTGAAAAAAAGGACGCAATTTTCTCAGCCTTGCTGTACATTCCTTGGCTGATAGTAATATTTTAATATCTGAACCGAAATGTTTAGTTTGGACAAGTCTTATCAAAATTGTCTCCGCTGTTTTTATATCACTAGCCAACATTAAACTTCGTTTCGGCACTATCCTCAAGAAACGAAGAACATAAACCGTTATTCTCAGAATCTTACTCCAAGACGAAATCCTATCCATTAAAAGTAAAAGGGAGTGACCCACATTGGGTTCCTCGTTGGTATAAAAAATTTGCAATGTTTCTGTCTCTTCCAGAATCATGGTTTTTTCTTGCCTAAAATACGGCCATTCATTTTCGGGAAGAACTAACCAGGGTGGGCCCTGTAACCAAACAGGGTGATCCACCAATTGCGAGGGGGTGAGTCCCCGTGATAAACAATCCGCCGGATTTTGGATTCCTTCCACATGATGCCAAACAACATCGGGAATGTTTTCTTTGATTTGTGCGATCCGATTCGCCACAAAAATATCCTTTATATATGGAGCTTTCAACCAACTGATAATTGTGGAAGAATCCGAGAATGCAAGAATTTTTGAAATGACAATCCTTTCGCGAAACGTTTCTTGAACATGTTTTACTAACTTTGAAAGTAAAAATGCTCCTAAAAGTTCTAATCTAGGAACGGTCAAAGTTTTAGCAGACGACACTTTCGATTTCGCACAAATTAGTTGAACATTTACGTGTCCGTCCCGTGATACAACTCGCGAATATACAACCGATCCGTAACCATTCATACTAGCATCCGAAAATGCCACAATAACCATTGGTTGACTCTCAGTAGCGCCTATATGCCGCGGAACCTTGAACAATTCAAGGACGCTCCACTCCAAACGTAAATTCTCCCAAATTCTGATAATTTTCTCAGGTGGTTTTTCGTCCCATCCTAATTTTAATAACCAAAGTTCCTTGATGATTATTTTTAAATATAAAATAAAAGGTGCTAATAGGCCAATCGGGTCATAGCATTTCGCCACCGAAGACAAAATTGCTCGTTTTGTGCAGATATCATCAGGAATTGACAAACTGAAACTCAATGTATCACTTCGTGGATCCCATTGTATGCCTAAAACTTTGGTTTCCGTTTTGAAAGTTACTTGCTTACAAAGCTGATTTTCTACCGGTATATTATTTAATAGTGAACTAGAATTCGACGACCATTTGGTTAGCTCAAATCCACCGGATTGAAATAAATTTATTGACTCCTCATATAATTGCCTAGCTTCCTTCTCTGAATTTATACTGAAACAGCAATCATCCATGTATAGATCACGTGATATATATCTTGCGGCTAATGGAAACTTTTCTGACTCTTCTTTGATCAATTGTTTTACTGTAGATAATGCTAAAAATGGAGAACACTTCAACCCGAAAGCCAAAACCCGGATTTCATAGGTTTGGATTTCCCCTTGGGGATCAAACCGCCATAAAAGTCGTTGGTACCGCCAGTGGTCAGAGGTGACCTTGATTTGTCGATACATTTTCCGAATATCAGCTGTCATTGCGATTTTGAATAACCGAAAATTTAATAATAAGGTGAATAAATCCGCTTGTAGTTTTGTACCGCCGTGTAAAATGTCATTTAGTGACACGTCACTATCCGAAGGGGCGCTCGCATCCAACACGACTCGCAGGGGCGTACTAGTGCTACTCGCCTTGAGTATGGGGTGATGAGCAATATAATAAGATAATTCACCTTGATCCTGATGTTCTACTAGACCCATATGGCCTTGTTCTATGAAGTCCTGCATTGCCTTATTGTATTCCACACGTAGGTCAGCATCTCGACCTAACCTTCTTTCCAAAGATAATAATCTGATTCGTGCATTGTGATACGAATCCCCCAAACTTTCGGGTGGTAATTTAAATGGCAACGCTACCGTAAAACGCCCTGATGCATCCCTACTATAGGTCTCAAGAAACATTCTTTCACTTTCCGCGTCGTCAGGATCCGACAATAATCGGTTTGGTACTTGTTCTATTTCCCAGAATTTATTTAACAAGTGCTCAATCGATTGCTCCTGTGCGAGCGTGAAAAATACCGGAATTGATTTTAGAATTGGAACCTGCCCCATGACGACATATCCGAATGCCGTTTGTACCGCTACTGGAGAACCTGAGATACCTACAATACGGTCCTGTCCCAAAATCCTCGCAAAAATGTCTACCCCAATAATTCCATGAATTTCGCCGGGCTTATCGAAATCATTATCCGCCAATGGAATCATTTGTATATTTGGAATAACTCTTACATCAACCTTGAACTTTGGCAAATCATCCGTGATTTTTCCTACCAAAAAGGCCTTGAATGAATATTTTGAATCTGGATCATACCGTGAAGCTACCGTCAAATTAGTCATTCCTTTAACCATTTGATTACTACCGCCTAATCCTTGAACCGATGAAAAATGTTTAATAATTTTCAAATTCAACTTCTTGCAACAGTCGACGGTCAACAAATTCGCCTGACTACCTGAATCTAAAATAAATCTCGC